CTTTTTCGTGAGTCTTTCTCGTCTTCATATTGCGTGCAAACAAGGAACGTTTTGTAATCCCTTTCTCAAGAATAAAACTTAACAGAAGCAAAAATAGAACCTAATAGGAAGGTATACTGGAGTGACTCCACCATAGTGATTAGCTGGTTACAGTTACAGCCAAGCAAATTACAAGTTTTGTCTCAAATAGGATCGCAGAGATTCAACATCTCACGAATGTAAAAAATTGGAGACATGTTCCAACAGATAAGAATCCAGCAGATCTTCTTTCTCGCGGGATGCCCCCTAGTCAATTAGTTTTATCAAAGTTTTGGTGGCATGGACCGTCTTTTTTGACACGTGGCAGTGACGAATGGCCTAAATGTCCAATAATGGAAGATAAGCTACTAGACGTTAAACAAAAATGTTATACAATTGTAGACAGGCAAGCTCCAGACCTTTCTATATTTGAAATCAGCTCGAATTTGAGTCGCCTTATACGAATATTAACATATTGTAAGCGGTTTGTATATAATAGTAGACATACAAGGAAACGAAAAACAGATATTTTGTCTGCAAAAGAACTAGAAGACATATTGCATACATTAGTGAGGCTGTCTCAGCAACAATCCTTTTCTTCGGAGTTACGAGTGCTAAACTCTAATTTACAAGTTACAAAAGGAAAATTAATCTCTCTTATCCGTTTATTGATAAAGAAGGAATCTTGCGAGTAGGAAGGAGATTACGAAACTCGAACTTTTCCTACAAAAAACAGCATCCTATAGTTTTACATTCTGCTCATCCATTATCTAAATTAGTTATTACAAGAGAACACGTGCGACTGCTTTATGCGGGACCACAATTACTATTGGCTACAATAAGGCAAAAGTTTTGGATAATTGGAGGCAGGAATCTTGTGCGAAAGATAGTGTATGATTGCGTACAATATTTTCTTAATAAACCACAACAAGCACAAGCGATTATGGGTGAATTGCCCACACATAGAGTAACGTTGACAGCTCCATTTCATGCTACAGGCGTAGATTATGCCGGACCTTTTTTATTGAAGGATAAAAGAGGTCGAGGTTGCAAAACAATTAAGAGTTACGTGTGCGTCTTTGTTTGTTTTGCCACAAAGGCTATGCATCTAGAATTGATTTCGGATCTAACAAGCGAAGCATTCATTGTCGCGCTGAGACGTTTTGCATCTAGACGGAAAAAGCCTGCCCACATACATTCAGATAATGGTACTAATTTTGGGGGAGCAAATCGTGAGCTCAAAGAATTAGGAAAATTCGTATTACAAGAAAGCAAAGAGTTAAATCAATAAACGAGTTAGGAATCAATTGGCATTTCGTGCCAGTCTATTCGCCTCATTTTGGAGGCCTTTGGGAAGCGGGAGTTAAGTCGGTAAAGTATCACTTAAAACGCGTAGCGGGTAACGTACTAATGACGTTTGAAGAATTCTATACACTCTTACTCAAATAGAAGCCATCCTAAATTCTCGCCCTTTGACCCCGCTATCCAGTGATCCAAATGACCTTATTCCTCTGATGCCAGCTCACTTTCTGATTGAAAGACCATTGACAGCCGTTCCAGATGTATCATTAACAAACTTACCATAGTCCAGATGGCAATTGGTGCAGCAATTACAACAGCACTTCTGGAATAGATGGAGCAAGGAATACTTTGCCGAATTACAGCAAAGAATGAAATGGGGGCAGACATCTCAAGATGTAAAAGAAGGAACGATAGTACTTATCAAAAACGAGAATCTACCACCTCTATGATGGAAACTGGGAAAAATCGTGGAAACTCATCCTGGCAAAGACAAGGTAGCAAGGGCTGCTACCGTAAAGACAGCAATAGGGGATATACGTATCGCGATATTGAAACTCTGTCCGTTACCATTACAAGATTGTAATAACTAATAATTGTACTGGTTATATGCTCTATAGTTTGCGTTAATTTTCTTTGTCATAATCACAGTACTTATCCAATAACAATTTATTATTTATGCAATAGAACTTAATAGTTAAATCCATAATCAGTTATGAATAGGGCCAAGTATAGTTTTTTTTATGTTGGAAGTGTTGTGTAAAATATATAGAGTCGCCATATTTCCCACCATAGTATCACGTGACCGATTATCCTTTCTTTTATAGGCCATCTTGGAGAGTCTTTAGTCTCGCGTTACCCCTTACAGCGGTCGTGTCACACTTGTATCTAAAAGCTATTAAAGCCGATATAAGCAATACCTGCCTATATATTCTGTCTCACCTTGTTACATTACATGGTGGCAGCGGTAAAACTCGGGGAAAATTCGACAAGTTCGACAGGCTCGATAGCTCTTGCCGACTTAAATAGTGAGACGCGCGGGTGATACATCAAGATCAAGATGGCAAACGCTACACACATCCCGTTGCCAGAACGATTCCCGTTTGACAATCCAAACTACTGGAATACGTACAAATCTACATTTGAGCGATACTGCACGGTGGCCGGCGTAAGCACAGACAAAGTTAAAGTCGATTGCTTGTTATACGTTACGGGACCGAGAGCAGAAGAAATCTATAATTCATTTACGTGGGAATCAGAAGACGACAAGACTACATATTCGGCAATGGCAGACCGATTTGCAAATTATTTTAACAAACGCAGGAATATAATCTATCAGCGGGCATTGTTTAATCGCCGCATGCAAAGAGTGGGTAAATCCATAGACGATTTCATCACGGACCTGCATAAATTAGCAAAAGACTGCAACTACGGAAATTCATGTGAGGAAATGATACGCGATAGACTCGTGGTTGGCGTTCGCGACATGCGCTTATCTGAAAAGATGCAATTACAAGATAATCTAGATTACAAGAAGGTGATAGAAACAGTTGGAAACTACGAGACTGTATTACGTCAGAACCGCGAACTACACCAAAGCGCGACATCTAACGTTGGCTCTACTAACCGCGACCAGATCAAAGGGAAAGTGAAGCACCAAAACAAGCCTAGTCACAAATTTTGGAAGTGTTACTTCTGCGGAGAATCCAAACAACATAAATGAGAGTCATGTCCCGCTCGCGAATCAACATGCAGTAAATGCAATTTAGTCGGACATTGGAGTAAAGCGTGCAAGAAAGGACATAATTCGGAAAAAGATTCTAAAGATTTTAAGAATTCTCAAAAAAGTGCGAAGATTAATGCAGTGGCAAATAATCCGGAATATTACTTCGTGGGATCGATAAACGAAGACGGCGAAAGTGCTCAATGGGAAGAAATTCTCTACGTCGGAGGTGTGACGATGAAATTTAGACTAGACAGCGGCGCGGACGTAACCATCATTAATTCGTTAATGTGGGAAAAAGATTGGTAAATATATCGATGAAGGGAGGCTGCTCCAATGACCTTGACCTTTATATATGTTGTCAAGGGCATGACCCCAAGTAACCTTCAGGTGGTTTTAGCCGTCGCTCGTTATTCGTTAAAAAGTTATTAACAAAAAAAGTAACAAAAAAAATAATACCAATGGGGGGTTGGGGGGGGGCGAAGCCCCCCTCAGTGGGTAGTATGGGCGCAGGCGGGGAGGGGGGGGGTGAAGGGGGAAGGGGCTCCGCCCCTCCCCCCGCCTATTACATAAATAATATCTATTGTAAAAACAAAAAATACGTGCTTTAATGCTTCTATTTTTGTAGTAAGGCGAAGATTTAATAGATATTCAATTTAATATACATTCTACCTTGCGTAGGGGTCTGTCTAATCTTTTCGGTATCTATTATTTTTGGTATATTGTAGACTCATTTATTTAGTGAGGCAAAAATTTAATAAATATTTTTACCTTGCGTAGGGGTCTGTCTAATCTTTTCGATATCTATTATTTTTAGTATATTGTAGACTCATACATTGTATAAGGCGAAAATTTATTGAGACATCAAAATTTCACGACCCCAAGTAAAAAGTCGTGAAGCCGCATGTTCACGTATTGAAACTTCCGTTACTACTAAATACAAAGACTATAGACACAACCTCATTCCTCACTGGGAAGCGTCTGCGTGTTTATATTTGTATCATCACATTCAAAGTCATATAAGATCAAA